TTCTTATTTATTTTTTATGACCAGTTCAACTTTTGAAAACAACAATCATAATTTCATTTCGCTACATTGTTTAAAGCACAAATCTCCAGCATGCTCCAGGGACCTTTGGATAGCAAGTACTTCTGGTAAAAAATGAAGAGACCAACTGTCAGAGTTTGATGAAAACAGGCTCAGAGAGCTGGGCATGGTGGCACATGCTTATAATCTCAGCACTCAGGAGGCTGAGGCAGGAGGATCATTGCAAGCTGGAGACCAGCCTGGGCTACAAAGTGAGCTCAAGGCCAGGCTGAACTGCACGATGAGACCCTGTCTCAAAAAGACAAAAAGAAAAAAGAAACTAGGCTGTTTGTCCTCACATGGTGCAACAGATAGCCTCAAAAGACTGATGGGTAGGATGCAGCCACTGTTGTCTCCACTGGACTTACATATTCAGGTCCTTTTTGCTAAATCCTCACAGCCATCTAGAATTGAGCTCACTAGAATAAACTATGAAAATATTAACCCAAACCAGATAAAACTCATTTTTTTACGCCTTATTTCACGCTGCACTTTTCATTTAACAAACTGAAATTTTCCATTAACTTAGATCTGTTGGTGACATCTCTCCAACAGTTCAGATGACTTTTAGCTGTTTTTAGCAATAAAACATTTTAATTATGCCATGTTTGTCAGGGATATAGCACAGCGGCATAAGCACCTGCCTGGCAAGCGCAAGGTCCTGAGTTCGATCCCTGATATTGGGAAAAAAAAAAAAAAGAATACTGCAAACAAATATTAGACATAGGTCTGAAACAGGCTGTACTTTAAAAAAAGTTATGGCAATGCACCATTTTAAAGATATATCCCTAAAAAAAAGCTGTCAGCCTCAGGTTGCTGTAGTTCCATCCCCACAACACTCCAGCCAGCCAAACCACCCCTGAGGGCATTCGGAGCAAAAAAAACAAAACAAAACAAAACAAACAAACAAAAAAAAACCTTATGGGGCTGGTGAGATGGTTCAGTGGTCTAAAGCACCTATTCAGAACAAGCTCAGCAAAGCAGAGACTGCGGTTCAATCCCCCAGCACCACATGCCAGCCAGCCCCGCCCCCTGGTGGGCTGAGCTGGCCACACACACACACACACACATAAAATTAAAAAAAAAAATAAAAATAAAGATATATCCCTAAGACTATAGATAGTATAAACAAATCTATATGCATATGGAAACCATAAACATGATCTGCTTTTCTGTGATATTTGCACGGTTGTTACATCCTGGAGCTGGACACGTAGCATCTCTAAAGTATGCCCACACTCTTCATTGCCGCTGGCCTTGTGACGCTGCTCTCGCTTACCTCTAGATGTGCTCCAGTACCTCGTGTGCTCATAGGTGGGGCTCTTGGCAGGTAACTGGGTCAGGGCTGTGTGTGAATGGGATTACTTCACTGAAGGGTTCCTAGCTGGGTGTCATGCTGGGAGTTGAAGCCTGGTGGGGGTGATCACCTCAGGCCCAACCCAAAAGGTATGTACTCCTCACCCTCCCTCCATATGGTGCCGCATCCTACCCGCCATGCCACAGACTGCTTTTCCTCTATGTGCCATGGAGGCAGCTGACTATGGGCTAAAACCTCTACAAACTACGAGCTAAAGTAAATATTTCCCTGAGTAACTTGTGGCTGTCAGGTACTTTTTCCTAGCAGCAAGACAGGCCCCTAACACAAGTATAAAGATGTACACACAGATTTTAAATGTCTACTTAAAGGAATGCAGGCCTGTTCTTCAGCGAATCTTGCTGAGGGTTTGAGAAAAAGCTGTCAAAGAGAAACCGAGTCAAACAAATTGCCCTGATTCTTTAAAAAATTACTTTTAGGATCCTCAAAATCAAAACTGGAGTCAGGGGTTCCAGGGTAACACAAACTTATTGGTTTGATGAGCACTTGCATTGTATTCTTACTCTTAGACATGGTTTTGGCGGGTTTCTAAAATACAGGGAACCAGATACTTTATGGCTCTTTTACTTCCTGCGTGAACATGTAGGCATGACCGGGAAACCTGGGGCTTACACTTTAAGCTGGAAAACACCTAAGTAGTGGCTGTCTGCAGTCCGGCAAGACACAGCGCAGGACTGCTGTGGTTATATAGTAAAGTGTTAAAGTATTTTCATGGTGTGGTACTTGAGTACTCTAAAAATAGACAACCCTGAACCATACTGCAGTTGAAGGACAAGATAAAAATAGGAAAGAAACTTGAAAAATACTTGTATAAATAGAGTACCAGGATTAACAAGTCAACCCACAGAACTGGATTCACTAATAAGATTGCTTATTTTTATTGAAGATAGGAAATAAGATACTACTGAAATATTTAAGAGAAATGTTGGCTACTGAAGTATTTTGAAGAATATTTAAGCTGATGATTTACATAATTTAGAATCAAGTTTTTTTTTTCATCTTCTTGGCTGGGACACACCTTTATATTTCTCAGTCTTCCCTTTTTCTCCCTCCCTTCCCTTTTCTTCTTCCCTTCCCACACCCCGGACAGTATTTGCTAACTCCAATATATACAAATGACTGCACAGATGCAGCTAAAATACTTTAAGAGTGTCAATAAATTATTTAGAATGTCATAGTTTTGGTTTTGCATTCAATTCCTAATAAAGAGTAAGAACTAGTAAGAGCTTAAGAAATGGAGATTTTCCATATTAAAGTAAATTTTGCTACTATAGACAGTACTGGATGGTTTAAAAATTTTCCTCTTTTTTAAAAGCCTGTATTTACAATGCAGTTGAGATTTCTGGTATGGGAAATCTGTCCCACATTATTAACTCTTGCCCCTATAGTTTGATCTTTTGTCCTGTTTCCTTTTTTTAAAAAAATGGTCAGCTCAGCCCACCCTGGGGGCGGGGCTGGCATGGCATGTGGTGCTGGGGATCGAACCGAGGTCCCTGCATGCTTGTCTAAGCAGGCGCTTTAGACCACTGAGCTATCTCGCCAGCCCTTTTGTCCTGTTTCATCACCAAGAATATTACAAATTTCTCACTGTCTCTTTCCTTTTCCAAGTCTGCAGCATCCCTGCCCAGCTCTCACTTGCTGGCTTGAGGTGTGTCCCTCTGCTGGCTCCTGATTCAAGCTCTTCCATATTGACTGGTGGAGAGAAGTCTCTGTCTGCACGTTTTACCAACGTTGAGCACTGGGTATCATCCTTTTCTGTCATTATACACAAGTCTGAAGACAGTTTCGTAGGCATCACTTATGCAAAAGCAACTTTTGAGGTAACATGGTCACCTAACGTACTAGGTACTGTCAAGATGACTGTCCCGCTATTCTCCTCCCAAAAATAAGGGCCTCCAACTACTTCTTGGCAACACATACTATTTTGAAACTTATATTTCTGCTAACTTGAAGAAATATTATCATGTATTTAATTTTTCAAATCTTTTATTTGGTACAGGTCTCTCTAGGCAGCTCAGACTTGTACTGATTCTCCTGCCTCAGCCTACGCAGGCTGGGATTACAGGCCTGTGGCGCCACTACACATGGTTTCAGTGGCAGGCACGGCATGTGCTACCTGGGATGCAACTTGTGGCCTTGCACTTGCTAGGCAGGTGCTTAGACCGCCGAGCTATCTCCCCAGCTCTGTCATGTATTTTAAAATAGTATTTCTGATTATCAATGGAGAATGTTTTCCATGTTTGTTGGCCTTCTGGACTTCCTATCTCTGTTTTTTAAATTAATCCTTTTAAATATAGCAAATGTTTTCTTGTGGCTTATCTTTTTGCTTTTATAGGTATACATGTAAGTTATTTTCAATGGATTTAAATTCCCTAAAAATTGTGTCATGTTTTAGACAATTTTTCACATGCTGAGATTTCAAAGTATTTAATACATCCTAAACTTTGAAATATTACTTTTAAAAATTGTCTTTAACCCAATTAAAATGTATTTGATTATGATTTGAAGTGGGTCCACATTTATTAAGGGGATAATCAATTATGTAAGTATGTTTTCAAAAATTCTTTCTCCATTAGTTTATAATGACTTAAATATCCATGTGTAAGGGTCTTATTCCAAGTCTGAGTCAAAGAAAATAGCGTCAACATTTTGCACTAAAAATACCTGTGTCCTATACCAGGAACTATGTGAAGAGTTTTATGTCATTCCCCCCAGATTCTGGAGTCGGGAAGCCAGGGCCTAGGGGTCCACTGGGAGGCCAGGGCCTAGGGGTTCACTGGGAAGCCAGGGCCTAGGGGT